CAAGCCTTTGATTTATCTTTGTTTTGGTAATGAGCAGGTTCCCCTGGTTCTGGACTGTGAGCTGGACATTGATTTAGAAGCGGAGCAGTGGCTTTCGTGGTTGATTTTCATCTTTATTCACATTGATAATTTTTCCTAATCTGTAGTTCATCGTTGGTTTTCGTATTTGTTAAGTATGTAGCTGCTAATGTTAATGAAATTGTCAATTAATAAAATGTCATACAGACAATTTTCAACTGGACTTTGAGCCATGCATGGAATAGTTGGGCTTCACTCAATTACATTAATTTCGTGAAACTATTAAAATGTTCTTACTTCAGTGTTTTTGATTTGTATACATCCTCACATAGTAGAAAGTGACATGTTTAATATCTTCCTGTCCAGAGGCAGAAGGCATGGTGGAATCCGGTGAGTTGTTGGTGGAGTCTGATGATGAGAATGTGGAGAACAACATGATCATTCTGGACGATGAAAATATTGGAGTTGATGATCTGATAGTGCCTGCAGTTGGTATGAAATTCAAAGATGAAACGGAAGTCTTCGACTTTTATAAAAGATATGGTTATGCCGTTGGTTTCCCAGTTCGGAAACGAAATTCGAAAAAAGACGACGACGGGGTTTTGAGATATGTGACCTTGACATGTAGTCGTGAAGGTCGTCGAAGTAGTACTACAAGCGGTTCTTTGAAGCCTCAACCAACAATTCAGACTGATTGTAAAGCGAGGATCTCTGCATCTTTCGATGTACTTGGTACCTGGAGAATAAATACAGTCCACCTTGAGCATAATCATAAAACCAGTCCTTCAAAGTCCAGATTGTATCGTTGTAATAGAGAATTGAGTGCACAAGTAAAGCGGAGGCTTGAAGTTAATGATACGGCAGGAATTCCATTGCACAAAAGTTTTAACTCTGCCGTTGTTGAAGCAGGTGGGTATGAGAACTTGACATGCGTAGAAAAGGACTGTCGGAACTATATTGAACAAGTGCGGCGACTAAGACTCGGAGAAGGAGATGCCGTAGCCATACAGTCCTACTTTTCAGAAATGCAAGTGCGATGCTCGGGCTTTTACTTTAGTATTGATTTGGACGACGAATCGCGGTTGAAGAATGTGTTTTGGGCGGACTATCGATGTAGGCAAGCATATAGGGAGTTCGGGGATGTTGTTACGTTCGATACCACTTACCTCACAAATAAGTATGACATGCCCTTTGCCCCTTTTGTTGGCGTAAACCATCACGGCCAATCAACACTGCTTGGATGTGGTTTGATATCGAATGAGGACACGAACACTTTTGTGTGGCTGTTCAGGACATGGCTTAAATGCATGCATGGTCAACCTCCGCATGGAATAATTACCGATCAGGACAGGGCTATGCAAAATGCTATTGAGGTTGTTTTTCCACATACAAAACACAGGTGGTGTTTATGGCATATTTTGAAGAAATTACCTGAGAAGTTTGGATATCACGTGGATAAGGGTTTGATATTCTCGACTATTCATGAATTGGTATATGATTCACAATTTATTGAACAATTTGAACAAGGTTGGAGAGTAATGATCGATACGTTTGAGTTGCATGACAATGACTGGTTGTCGGGATTGTATGAGAATAGAGGACGTTGGGTTCCTTGCTACTTCAAAACAACGTTTTGGGCTGGGATGTCGACAACACAGCGAAGTGAGAGTATGAACGCCTTCTTTGATGGTTATGTGCATGCCAAGACTTCATTGAAACAATTCGTCGAACAGTATGAAAGAGCACTACGAAATAAGGTTGAAAAGGAATTTCAGGCTGATTTTAAGTCTTTTTCACAGATGGTACCATGTGCTACAACATATGAAATGGAAAAGCAATTTCAGTCAGTCTACACCATTTCCAAATTTCGAGAAGTTCAAGCTGAGTTTACGGGAAAAGTGTACTGTGACCTTATATCTGCTTCGCAGGGACATTTTGGGATGACGTATGAAGTACGAGAGGATGTTGTGTGTGGCAATCGCCGAACCAAAAAGACATTTCGAGTAGTCCTTCAGAAAGATACATGTGACATTACTTGCAGCTGCCACCTGTTCGAGTTTCGGGGAATAATTTGCAGACACACGATCGCAGTGTTGATTCGTAATGATGTTACCATACTACCGAGCCGCTACATATTGAGGAGATGGAGGAGAGACGTAAGTAGAGCACATACGAGGGTACCAGTTAATTACGTTGGTTTGGTAAGTACTCCTGGGCAATTGAGGTATGACAATATGTGTCAAGCGTTCTCCTCGGTTGCTGACCTTGCAGCAGACGATGAAGTCCGCTCACGTGCGGTAATGAATTGGATTGAAGTGATAAAGAAAGAGCTTACAGGCTTGTGACGGGACGTCAAAAGGTAATATTTATAGATATACTTATTCTATGTTGAAACCCAAATTCGAAATAATTTAATTACGAGAAGTTAATTGGAATAAATGTCACCTAATGAGGGCAGTTAAGGACTACATGTTTAATTTATTTTGTGAAGGCAATTGAGCTTGGACTAATACTTGTAGTATATTCTTTGTACAGCCCAGTGGTAGGGAGAGGTTTTGTGCACCTAGCATTAACTCTGGCCAGTTGGTTTCTGTTACTTTTCTGGATTTTGATGAGCTTTTGCAAGATTTTATGACTAGCCAGTTTCTGGTAGCTTTGCTGGATTCAACATATGCAGACAAGGATTTTATTCAATGAAATATTTAGCAGAGGAATGTATGCTTACTTTTTTGGTTAAAAGCATAGGAATTCTGTGGAAGTGATAGCCACTTTTGTTAAACGAATGTCAAGTCATTTCAATTCGTTAGTATTACATCAATGTTGGTTTGCTAGGTCTTTTGTAATGTGCGTATTAACCACATTTTTATCAACTACATTATGAATTGATTATCATAATGTTTTAATTTATTGGTTATTTAGCATACGGTTGTGTGATGAATATGATGATGGCGTCGATTAATAAACACCATTGCATGGAGTTGCGAATTATGATACAAACGAAAGTGGTTCATTCACTTAATACACACACGAAATCCCCTAAAGCTAGTCAAACATTAGACACTGCTCAAGCCGACCCTTTTCCTTTTGCATTTGCGTTTGCAATGCCTTTTCCCTTGTGGATCATCACATTCACAGAAATACGTATTTCTTCTTCGTCGTTCAATCTTACTTGAGATTGGAACACGCGGGCCATATCATCAGATGTTTCCTTCGCCATTTCTTCACCCTTGGTAATGTTGACGTCTTATTGTACAATCGATGAAGAAGTGTCCCTTGCTCCTGCACCTGTGACGTACGCCAGAATTCTTCCCACCCATTCTGAGAACACAATGACAGAGAAAATTATGACTTCGAATACCATAACAAATGAAAATCGAACAACCTTTTTACTGCAAATAGCCAAAGCATACCACTTTCAAATAGACATCGTTGAAACAGATCATACGTTTTGCAACTAGAAAGAATTTTTAAATTTTCAAGAATCAGACATGAACATTTCAACATGCAAGAAAGTCTGATGATTTTTGTGCTTCAAGCTCACTGCATCAATCAATTTTCTGTCCAATGATTTGTGTGAAAAACTCATTTTGTGAATTTCTTCTTTAAATAATTAAGTTATTTTGATGACTCCATCATGAAAGAAAGTAAACAAGACAGGAATTAGAGCTCTCTTGACCATATATACGTGAAAATGTGGAATTCCATATATAAAAGCTCACTAGTAGTAATCTGTCACACATTCAGAAAATCATAAATAGATTCATTGAATAAATGAAATGTTTCTTTCAATTCAAGGGCCTTTAAACAATGTTATTAATTAAACTAATAGTTAAAATTGCAGAATTCTACAACATCTCTTTCCCCCCACCCCACCAGAGAGGGGGAAAAAATGAAAAAACACATTGGCTCATAATAATACCATTGCCAAAACGAACTCTATATCGAACCTACGGAACACCTTAATTGAATGGTAATTATGAAGAATAACACCATTACTATGAAAATAAAGAAGGGGTTATAAACTATAGAACAGTCCATTAAGGGCTATATCGGTACAACCACCGAAAGAACAACAACAGAAATCCAATATTGTAACCTCATTCCCTCTCCACCCCAACCAAAAAAAATGAAAAGAAAGAAAAGAGAAACAAGCAATCTCACATACTTAACACAAATGAAACGTTCTGGGCAATGATTTCAACAAATTCCATAGATGATGCATGAATAACATTAGTAAAGACAAAACATTTAAAAAAAAAAAAAAACTGAAACTGAATAACGAACCGTCCACAGTCAAACCACATACTTGCCTTCCTAGTCGTAATCCTGTGTATGAAGTACGATTTGATGGCCAGCTGAGGTGGGTCTTCCTTGTTTCGCGATGGCCGAACTGTTGAGACTGCAATGGCGTTGTCGAGCGATCAAATTTGGACAATCGGCCAACATAGAAGAGAGTGTCAGAGGTAAAGCTTAAGCCAACGTCCAATGAGATGCTGGCTCAAATTTCTAGCTATCGCCGGAAAATGTCGTTGTTGGTTTAGAGGGTTTGCAAAAGGGGGAAAACGAGGAGAGAGAAGGTTTCACTGTAGGAAATTGAAAATGAGAAGAGAGATACGGCTTTTACAAGTTAAAAGATTTTTGTTTTCTTTTATTTTTTTCCCCTCAATTCCACGTCACATTGTAAGGTATGTTGTAAGTCCCATTGTACGAGTAGCGGGACTGATAAAAAATATAGAAGCCACTAGAACTTTCCCATCAAACGGAAGGTAGTGTAACACTTGGCAAAGATCTGAGCATCCATTCAAATTAAGAGAGAAAAAACGTGTCTCAGCAACACACGTTTTTCTACCAAGTGAAAACAAGAAGCTCCAGGTATCTGCAAGATCTGGCCCAGCTGGCCCATCATTGTGCCACATTATTCTCCATAGTTTTAAATGCCTAATTCAGTACCATTATCACATACTTAGGTGCTCTGAATTTATAGTACTATAGCTGCAATTTAGTGCATATCCTAATCATTAAGTAAAAGTATATGAAAGTTTATGGTATCTCATTCTTGTATAGGTTATGCTGTTGTGAATATGTCTTTGAAACATGTTACATAGCAAATTTTAAGCTTCGATGACACATATTATATTAAATTTAAGTTTCTTCCCACATTAGCATTCTTGAAGACTTTTCGTATGCTGAAATTCTTTATTGCTTCGTTTGACATATGTCAACATGTGTGTACATGAAAGTTAACGGTATTTTATTCTTGTTGAGGTCACATGTTGAAAATAAGTTTCTAAAATGTGATATAGAGCAGATTGAAGCTTCAGTAATTAGTAGTAAGTTATATTAATTTTGAGTTTCTTCCCACATTAGCATTCTTGAAGACTTTTCATAAACTGAAATTCTTTATTACCACGTTTGACGCATATCGACATGTGTGTACATGAAAGTTTATGGTGTTTTATTCTTGTTGAGGTCACATGTTGAAAATAAGTTTTTCAACTGTGATATAGAGCGGATTGGAGCTTCATTTATTAGTAGTAAGTCCAGTTTGAGCTCCTTCCTCAATAGCATTGTTGACGACTTTTTTCACATTCTTAAATCCATAGTCACCTTGCTTGACGTCTGTTGACATGTGTGTACATTAATAAACCATTTGCTAGTGAAAGAATCTAGAACGGTCTAATACCACTACAATTTTTAGAATTTATCGAGTTTACGTTCCAGATTACAAATTATTCGACCTTATGTACGGAATAAACTAACTAAAACAACAAGTCACTTTAATTAGATGTATAGGTGGTTATCAAACAATTCAATTAGCCTATGATTGAATGCCGCAGTTATAATATTGTGGAAAGCAATAAATAACACAAGATAGGATGACGGAGAAACCCCAACGTGGGTAAAACTACGGAACCAAGGCAGTAACCTCCACTACAAACAATTCAGAACATACAATAACAAGCCTATCCTTACACCCGTTAAGACCTTATGCCATAGACTTACGATCTGCTACCATAGACACCTCTAGCACTAGAACTCTTGATCTACCTCCTGCAGCCTCCTACTATAGTAGATTCCTCTAGCCTCCTGCTAGACCTCCAAATCTACCTTCTGCAACCCAATCTACTGTCTCCTACAACTTCCTAGTCTGTACTGAATGTCTCTCCAAAGTAGACCACCAAGAACTGCTTGTTCTTGTGCTTATAATTGCGCTTCAATCCACCTCTCTCAATCCCTCAATGAGAGAGTCCCTTCCTCAAAAGATTAAGGAAGACAGGTGTTTTGGATTATCGGACCTTTGATGTTTTCCCCAATATGTGGTTGTTGGATCTCAAGAATAAATAAAATGAATCAATACCTGGACATGCTCTTGGATTTTCAAAAAGATGATAAGAATGTTTTCTTAGAGAGGCACAATAAACAGCCACACAAAAATTCGTGCTAGGGCTTTGGTACTTGTATTTGAAGGTGTTTTGGTGGTATGGACAGAGTAAAACACTTAAAAATGCGAACTAGGGGTTTTTCCTCATAAAAATATCGCTCGAGCGAGGATCTAGCGAGAATCGAGCCAGAGCCATTCTCTTTTTTTTGCTCGAGCGAAAAGCCATCGAGAATCGAGCGACAGCTGAGCAGTCTTCATTGTTTTCACCATAACTTTCTCTCCTGATGTCTGATTGAGGTGATTCAATTTCGTTGGAAAGCTGACTCAAAGTGCTACAATTCTTCTAAAAATAGCCTTGTCCAAATTCCAATGTTTGGAACATAACTTGTGCAGCTCTTTGATATCCTTTAGATTTCTAATTGCATTCCGATAATCATATGTGATATTTTTGGACATCTTGAACTCCTTCAATGACTCGAACACTAATTTACCTCATCTATTCAAAATTGCAACTAAAGCGGATCGGCTCACCGAAATGTTGTAGATAAAGAAAGAAAGGATTGCTCAGCCTAAGTAGAAATCAGACCCTTTTGTTCACAGAATTGCCAATTACAATATTGGACCTAACAGCTGGAAAATTCATATGTGTCTACCTGGCAATTAGATCAACCTGCAGCATGCACTCCAATTTGCTTTTGGCATCAGAGTGCAGTATTACTTCAATAATATTGAAGTCAAGTTGAAGTTATAATACTGATATTTGCAGGGGCCAGGAGAGGTGAATGTTGATAAGAATGGATTACAGGTGTGTTTGTTGAGTTCTATAGTGATTTTAGCTGCTACTTGGTTGTAGGTTTGAATGATTCATGCTAATTGTCTGTTCTATATAGAAGGAGACAAAGGAGCAGGAAATGATTGATATGGAGGCTGCAACTAAGGAGGATAACAAACTGGGAAATGGAAGCAGGAGACGACGTCCCTCAAGAAGCCGATGTAAATGCTAGACTTCAGTGTAGCTATTTTTAGTTATTTTCTGGTCCTTTTCTCTTTGGAAAGCTGGGGGTGGCAATTTCAGATTTGGAAGTTCCTTTTTTATAGTGTTCGTCAGATCATGTTTCCATCTATTAAACTAAGTAGTATTTATGGATAATTGTAGCTCTACGTCATCTCAACAAGTTGGAGAAAAAGATGCAATGAAAACTAAAAAGTTTGTTTGCTTAAACTCACTGTAATTCATCTGTCAGTTGTGATTGTGCTCAAATTTCTCTTTTGCAACACTGTCTAAGATATAATTGGTGTTGAAATAATTAAAAAC